AGATTGGGAAAGCTTTAATACCAAAAGATATACGAAACGAAAAAAGTTACGATAACCGGGCGTAAATCGAAGGTAAGATCTAGAATATGATTTCTCTTGTCAAATCTATTCTGGTGGTACAAATTCAGAAATCCGCGTTAAGGATTAGACACAACAAAAGGCAAATATATAAATCCTGTAATCCCACCATATTTTGAAGACAGACAAATGGCAGTAATCCTGCCTTACAGTGCTTTCCTAGATCCCCAACCCCCAGTTACTGTTTTGTTTTCTGCATTTTAAGCGCTTGGATATCGTACGAAGCATAGACCTTATTCTAAAATGGCCGCCAACCGGTAAAAGCTGGGGAAAGTGTCACGAAGACGAGGTCATAAGAGCCAAACCTAAGAAATTTTACAGTTTTGACCGAGAAGTTATCATCGAAGGCATCATTTAGTAACGTACCTTTCCGGTCAGGAAGAGAAAATATGGCAAATGCTTTATATGGACCCCGTTTACCAACCGAAGAAGATATTCCGGGAAGTTCGTTTGCTGGAAGAAAACCCTCAACACTGAAGAACTCCGAATTACAGTTTTGGTTGCGCTGTCGCGGCGACTCGTGCAAAGGTCTGTCATCTAAAGCCCGGCTAGTAAAAAGGTAAGACGTATTGAATATTTAGGATCGTTTGGCGTGTGCGTTAAGGGCAGAAGACTCAAGTGTTATGGCAAGCTCATCAACACCGTCACCTGGGATACACTGGAAACCGAAAATTCCATATGAGGGCTGGGGATCATCCCTTGAAAAGGCGCCTCTTTTTACAAGGGCAGAGATGGACAGACATATTGGAAAGTCTGGGTAGCATATCGGTGGGGATAAACATGCACATCATTCTGTTTCCACACGCTTTAAAAAGGCTAAAACCTACCTTGAAGACGAATATTTACACGATATTCACACAAATGTTGATGAGCAGTACTTTTATTTTCGTTGCAAATGCTTTCCTAGCTTTACGAGGAACGAAAGCCCTCGCAATTTAATTCTTGCTTTATGCTTGATTTCTGGAGAGGTTGTTTATGCAAATTGTGGCCCCTCCTGTGCTGCCGGGAAATCCGGTTTTTGCAATCACGTCTTAGCGTTAATGCTGAAGATATGCAAGTACACTCTTTATAACTGTAAAGGTGTCACAGAACTACAACATGAGGCAGACGAAAACTGTTCTGCAGCATGCACCTCTAACTTGCAGAGGTGGCATCAACCTTGGGTCGAAGTTATTACATCCTACCCTATTATGGAAGTTTCTGTTTCCAAAACACAAGTAGAGGGTGAACACAACAGTTGTGGTATCACAAGTCTGCTTTATGAGGCAAGAAAAGTCCATAGGAAATCAAAACTAAATGATTTTGTGGAGGCGGTTCAAAAAATAGACCCAACTCTGGGGTTGGTACAAACTTGTGAACTGAACACTAACGAACCTGTTGACACAAGGTTCGGGGAAAGTCCTACAGGGTCATTTGGATTTTACCAACTTGCATTTCAGGAGTCTAACTTTAAAGTTACATGTAACTTAGCTCCAAGTCAACAAGCTTCAAGAGCATCAAATTCCCAACTTTCTAATCCTTCGCTGCCACTAGATGATTTGAATGATGACTTTGTGTTAGATCTGCCTGACGATCTGGATATACTACAGAAAAAACCACTAGATGAACTTAATGTAACTATGCACGATGCAAATAGGATAGAAGAAAATACCAGGGCTCAGCATAACTGTAATGCTTGGACTGAAGAACGCAGGTATAGATTTACAGCCTCAAATCTTGGAAAGGTGTCGAGAAGAAAAATAAACCATGAGAAGTTTTGTAATGACATGCTGGATGCTAAACCACTCAGGTCAGCAGGCAGTGATCATGGTATTAGATATGACGCTGTTGCATTACGAGAGTACAAAAAACACATGTATGGAATTGGAACACCCAGTAAATGTGGAAAGATCTGGATTCTTTGTATCACCAAAACTGTTTTTCCTTGGATGCACCCCTAATGGGAAAGTTTTTGATATTTCATGTCTTGAAGATCAGTATGGTCTTGTGGAAGTAAAATGTCCAAGTTCAAAGTTCAGGGTTTCTCCAGCAGAAGCCTGTAGTGACCCTAACTTTATCTAGAAATTAAAGATGGGATACCCAAACTAAAAAAGGACCATGTTTACTATGATCAAGTCCAGGGCCAAATGGCCCCCACCGGTACTAAATGGTGCGACTTTGTTGTGTACACGAGCAGAGGGCTTAGCATTGAAAGGATTCACTTTGATGAAGAGCTCTGGAAGAAACACAGAGCAATACTGGAACACACCTATTTTCATTACTTTTTGCCAGCTGCAGCAAAAAGGAAATATGGTGGGCAACAACAAACTNTCGTGAAAACGCCACCCATTTTCAACCTTAAAAACTTTCGAAAAGGTAATACTACAGACTTGCAGCGGTATACGCGAGTTATTATATATTACGATATTGACACAGCATTCACGCAACACATGCCGAGACCTTAATTGTAAACAAACTCAGAAAGCAAACGTCACTTGACAGTTAGCGGCTGAAGACGAGCACTCTTTCGTATCGATGTACATGTATGAATGTAAACTAGCCTTTTAAGGCCTATGAAAGTTACGAATTCTGGTAAAAGTTAGAATTCGATTAAAAAAGAGTCATGGACCTCGCTTCGTGAGGTTTAAATATCTCGTGACACATTTGTCACGCATGAAATGAATTTCAAGAGTCACAAGTATCGGCTGAAGGAGGTAGTGCTGGAATTTGAAACCGGAACCGGAATACTTGGAATACCCGGAATTCCCGGAATGACCGTAAAATAAAATTAAAAAAAAAAAATAAAGAAAAGTAAATAAATAAATAATTAATAACATTGATGATTAAAAGTTACTGGTAAATTCCCAAGTTAACGAAATAATTTAATACGAAAATTTTCGCTACGGGTCCCGAAACAAAAAAACACCGGCTCTGTTCAGGGAGATGCACGTATTAGAATTAAAAAAAGTCTGCGTCAGGCCAGTAGCCCATACAGCCTAAGCGACGAAATAGGTCTAGTTTCCCTTCTCCCTGGATGGGATGCTAGTCTATCACATGGTTTCTCCCAGTTTTAATTCGCCTCCACCCATTACACACCTATAGGATGTCTAGGGCGCCATGACCATTAGGCCTGCACGCTTTTCCAGCCGGAATCATTGCGGAAGATTAAACAAATGCAATATTTCCAATTAGTTTAATAGTTCAATTGTAAAAAGCTCTGACCTATTGCAAATTAATACTCTACCTTAAATAATTATTAACCATACATTGGGAGCTATCAAAGCAGCTACAATTAAGACCAGCCGTCTACAGTTAAAATTGAGAGATCGTCAGTTATTCGACACCTTTTGGCGTCTATTATAAATACCTTGAATATATACCTTTAAATATATATCTTGTAGTGATGGATGCTTCTAAACGCAAAATGTTTTGCAGACAAAATTTTTATTTTCATAGGCTTTTCAAGCGCAAATGCTTGTTGTCATGTGATCTACGATTAAAGCGAGATGAACATTTGCGTTAACTGAATATCATTTTCATGACATTTTTATGCAAATGTTCAAAAACTCCATTGTATCCTCTGGTAAAAATGTCTCCTTCTTAGTCTTCCAAGTATTAGGCCTTGAGATACCACATAAAGCGACCGCCAGCCACCCTTTTCCTTTCATTACATTATGTTTTTACTAGCGACTAATTCGTGATTCAGGTCACCTAAACCCAAAAAAAAAAAAAAAAATTAAAAAAAAAAGAAAATTGAGTTTTGCGTCCTATATATTATTTTTACCTTTAGTCATCTTGGAACTGATTCATGGATTTCAAATGGGAGAAGCGAATCTCTATTCAGTTAACTCTGATACTGCCTATGCGTTGCCCTTTATGATCAAAGTATTTTTTCTTTCTTTTTTGATTATACAACCATTTTGTAGTTATAACCAATGAAAAATTTTAGTATCAGAATTTAACATTCTTCTTTCAATCTGCAGTTCCGGGTTGTATGGTGCAAGCTGATATATGAAATATGGCCAGAATATTTTTTCAAATACTAACAGGTATTTTATATTTCATCAATTTATTCAAACAAAATGTATAGCTAATGTCTACATTTACGTGCAAGGCAGTATGCATTTGTCACTAGTGTGGGATAGAGAAAAAATGCTGAGTCCAAATGAGTAACGAAACCTCACAATCGTATTCCTGAAACTTTCACCTCTCATTTTTTGTAAAAAATAAATTTTTTTTAATCGTTTCTGGGATTTTCCGAGGTTAAAATATCTTTAAAACCGACGTGTCAATATGGCGGATTGTTTACCGCCACACTGACAACATTTAAACAACCTGAGGAAGCCCAGTAAAAATGGTCAAAACGTCAGTTTCAATGATATTTTAACCTTGAAAATCCCAGAAACGATTAAAAAATTTTTAGAAACCTCAGAACTTTGGATTCCGCGCTCCGAGACGACTACTGAGCGCAGAATCCGATGAATTTTTGTGAAAAAGACAGAAACAACCTTTTTTCCTCTATTTCTTTCCATGGAAGCTCCCATCTTTCTTATTCTATGAAACACTTTTTGGTAGTTTTTTACCCTACATCTCAACATTATACTGGCTCATAAAAGTTTAGATCAAAATATTAAATTATTTATCTCATGAACAAATTTTTGCTTTTGTTTCCCAAGTGTTTTTAGCAATGGATGTTGGCCTTGTTGGTAAGACACTTTATATTTTAAGTATCTAAGTTATGAAATCCATCTAAACTTTTAGCCATTAATTTACCAAACATGTACATACATGGACATGTACTTTTATTAGTCTTTGCCACTAACTTGCAAATTGGTATTTCTTCGGGATCGGTCATTGATTTCAGTAATATTTATTGATTGGGTGATTTTGTGAAAATGCATGACCTAGATAATTACATGTAGAATGACATTTTCATAATACACAGCAAAATACCCATCTTTTAAAGGGATGTGTCAAAAACGAAGACCCAAAAAGGAAGACCGAAGACCCACTGGTCTAAAATGAAGATAAAACAAAGACCCTGTGGTCTAAAACGAAGACCCACTGGTCTAAAACGAAGACCCTATGGTCTAAAACGAAGACCCACTAAAATCATATACAACTAAACTACGTTTTCTCACTCCTGTAGCGCATAAATAAAAATGTCGTCTGAGCACGTTACATCTTAGCACACAGTACAACACGTGTCAAATTGTGTGAAGCAGTCAAATTCCAAGAGTGTCAAAATGTATGTTTTCGTGACGAGTATAGTACATTTCCTCCTCACCAACACTACATTTTAGAGAAAATGAGAGTGAGGTGACTTCAATAATAATTCATCATGCTGTGACTGTACCTACCACTTGATGGACGCTTGATCTGCCGGGCCGGGCCGGGCTGGACTTAAAGGTCATCTGTGCGTGACTTGCAAAGCTATATGAATAATCTTGTACAATCAAATACAGCACATGCAATGTCCCCCGGAAAAATTGTAATTGATTATATATTGGGTAAGTGTAAAAATGAAGAACAGTAATAGAACTGTCACCGCTATGATATAGGTCAGAAATTTCATACACCTAACTTGAAAATCCTTGAAATTTGACTGCGTTACACAATTTGACACCTGTTGTGTGCGCTCAGACGTAGTGTGCTTACATGACATTTTAATTTATGCGCAACAAAAATAGGAGTAACTTAGCTGTTAGACCACAAGGTCTTCGTTTTAGACTAGTGGGTCTTCGTTTTAGACCACAGAGTCTTCATTTTAGACCAGTGGGACTTCGTTTTAGACCCATGGGTCTTCGGTCTTCAGTCTTCGCTTCTGGGTCTTCGTTTTTGACACAACCCTTTTTAAGGTATCCAGTGGCTAGTTTATTAAACTCTCTGGCAGTAAATTACCTGAGTGAATTATCGAGTGTATTTTACAATATTAAGGCAACTATTATCTAAAAACTAAAAATTTAGGACTATGGCAATGATAATAGCAATTGAATCATTTAAAATATTTAAATGTAAAAAAGTCCTCCATTCTCCTTGTCCTACTTATCTGAATGTTTTGGAAGAGATAGTACTTTAGTGTTTTCTGCCTTAAGTTGTAATTAGGTTCGTGCAGAAGTGGGCTGGGGAGCAGATGGTGCAGCTGGGCTGGGGGACTTCATTTTTGCCATTATTTCAGAGCACAGGTCTACTCTTCTGTCATCTAGCCTATCTAATTTACCCGCGCTGTAATGCATAAGAATATGACTCAACCTCAGGGTAAATTATATCAAGCGCCCTTTTTTGGACTCACTCTATGGATTTGGACAGATATGGGCAGGAATTAATAATCCTGCAAGACAGGTACAGCATACTCTAAAACTGGCTGGACTTTGCTGAGATATATCTTCAGGATGTTAGATTGACACACCCTGGCTCTGCGCAGTACTCTAAGGGAGCATAACCTCTTACAAGCTTTCTTAATAAACTATAATCAACATGACAGTTCCACTTCAGGTCACTGTCTATAATAACTCCTAAGATCTTATAGGTATTTGACACACTGGATGGTGTTGCCGCCAATTAATATGGGGTTAATGAAACAGTGCATGCTTATCCAGTTTCACAAGCATTATACAAAGACTTTCCTATGAATTGCACTCTCCTACTTTAGGCAAGGCATCCACACCGACCCATCAGTTCTCAAATCATGCTTTTGATAACCAATTACATCAGAGAATTTTGTTATATTACTATGATTAGGGGAGCAGGGATGGCGCAGTGGTGAGAGCACTCGCCTCCCACCACTGTGGCCCGGGTTCGATTCCTGGACCTGGCGTCTCATGTGGGTTGAGTTTGTTGTTGGTTCTCGTCCTTGCTCCGAGGGTTTTTCTCCGGGTCCTCCGGTTTTCCTCCCTCCGCAAAAACCAACATTCCAAATTCCAATTCTATCTCGAAATTATTGGACAAGTGGACAAGAATAGCCACCCAGTGGACGTCCATTGCTAAATCATTTATTTATTTATTCATTTATTCATTTATTTATTTGATTACCTTGAAATCTTGAAGCAAAACCATGACTTACACTTTTACACCCTAACCTTTCCTAATGTACGGACAAGGAGAATGATATTTGTTTAACAAATAAAGAGCTTCTTAAGTCAGATCCACTATCTTGTGCCTAGTGTATGATTCAAGTGTGATATTGTAAGGAGAAATAAGATACTAGACTGTCACTCTCAACCTTAAAATAGCCACCCCATACCCGGGGGTGCAGCCACAGCTGTACACGTGCTACTCACTCTAAGGGGTGGAGGGTTTTAACTCTGACTGTTAACCCTGTAACCCCCAAGATCTGATTGTTAACTCTCCCCTCTGGCCCAGCTGCCATACATTTCCTTGTAAACGAGTTAAAAGAATTTAGATGACGACTTGTACCTGATAAGTTTGAGTATTCTCATTACCTGTTTGCTGGAGAATGTTTAGATATCATAGGGAGAAGTTACATGTTCATCACTTCTGAGAGTTTAAAAGGCTTAAGATAGTCAAAACTATGAATACCACATCCGCATGGCCTGCAAACCTGAAAACCTGGAAAATTGAAAGATCTATGTCTAATGTATGCTTTTTTGGTTATTAATTAATTATAGTATTGTATTGTTACTGTTAACAACTGTTTCACTGTTTTTGTCTGTGTTCATAGAGTCCCAGTCCTGTAACAAAGATTTTACAAGTTTAAGTGGTACAGTGTCCTCACCATCATTTTCAAGTGGTTCAACCTATGAAAATTTGTTGGATTGCACATATAACATTCAAGTTAGAAGTGGATATCGAATAAAACTGTCATGGTCAACATTTGATGTCAAGGGTCAAATGCCAGACTGCGTTGATGATTCTGTGGAGATTTTCATTGGATGTTCACTTAACAGGCATTCAATTGGAAAATATTGCTCTGAAAATGGATACAAGCCATTTGATGTTCACTCACCAAACAACTGCTTGCGCTTAGTGTTCAAGACAAATGTCTCTGGCGTAGGCAGAGGGTTTCAAGCATCTTACTCATCATTTCTTCTATCTGGTACTGTTACTAAATTGAACAATTCATTCATGAAAAATAATTTCTAGGGGACAAATTACAGTACTTGAGAACTGAAACTATGGTATTAGGGGTGGGCATTCAGTGATAAGCATGGAAAACGTGGAGAGTGAAAACCTGGAAGGTCATGCAATTGGTTTTAGTATCATTTTCCAGCATGGAAACTTATCAAATTTAAGTGGGACTCAGGGGAAGTCAAGGGAAATAATTGAATGTGAAAGAGATAATTGAGAGAGCAATTACTAATGAAAATTTACATCATCTTTCTTGGTTTTTTTTTTTTTTTTCCTCTTTGTGGAACAAACTTCTGGGTCATATTAGCTCATGGGATACATTCAAAAGGTGGTCCTGTACATAATTATGGTCATAGAAATTATTTAATGGAATTCTATGATTTACAAAGTGCACAGACTCTATGGTTATATGCAGGAAGATCAATTCAAAATTTGGAGAGCTGAGAGACTTTTATTTTACTAACGATCCAGAGGGCAGACATAGCAAATAAAATAAATTATAATTATTAGCTCCAATATGAAAATATGAAAGATACTTTATGCCATGTCATTTTGGGCAAGGGATTCCTTTTGGAGTGAAGATACCGTAGTCTCAATTTCACCATTTGGCAGAGTTTACTATAAATGCTATTTGTCTTTTTAGAAATTGATGAACCAAACAGTGGTAGTTACTAAAACAAGGAATTACCTGGAAAGAGCTGGAATGAGCCGGAATGAGCTGGAATGATCCAGAACGAGCTGGAATGACCAAGAATGATCTAAGAATGATCCATAAAAGTGATTTTCGATAGAATTTGTCTCCATATACTCGATTTTAACTTGCTAAACAAACACACTCTTTACGCTGACCGTGAGGTGTTGTTGTTGTTGGTGTAAACTTGAAAACAAATGCAGAATAGTTCATGTGAAAGCCAACTGAAGTAGTCATTTTCAGCAAAAACTTCGAAAATTCCAGTTCATTTCTTAATAAAATCCACGAATACTCGCGCCATTCACGTCACGATTTTCCACCAGGATTCAACTCGGCCACCATCGTGAAATATTGTATCGGGCATCCTGTGGCTACTATCCCATAAGCCTTTTCCAACTGAGTGAGAAAAATGGCGGCAGGACATAAAGACTTTGTTTTGCAAGTTAAAATCAAGTGTATGGAGACAAATTCAATCGAAAATCATTTTTATGGATCATTTTTGGGTCATTCTTGGTCATTCCAGCTCATTCTGGATCATTCCAGCTCATTCCGGCTCATTCCAGCTCTTTCCTGGTAATTCCTTGTTTTAGTAACTACCACCAAACAGTTGTTATAATCCTTTCTCTATAACTTTAATGGCATTTCTTAGCTATACTGCATAACTTAGTTCTTAGTGAGATACATAATTACATAAAGCAGAAACTGTATTACTTACATATGCCATTTGTTTGTTGAATTCACAGAACGTCAAAGTGGTGTGGGAGGTATGTGGTCATAGCTGTCGAGAAAATCTTAAAACTATGTACAGATCTATCTGTATTCTCTTCCACGGCTTGCATACTACACAAACCCTTATCAATAATTACCTGGTAGTATTTGCTATACACTGCATAAGCACAATTTTAATACACAAATGTATACGTATGATGCACGATCCTCGCAGTAGAGAGCGCTATTTATGCAATAGCGAAAATCAAACCTGAAAAAAAATCAGGCCACAACGGGATTCGAACCACTGACCTCGGCGATACTAGTGCAGCGCTCTACCAATTGAGCTAACAAGCCAACTGGGAACAGGCCGTTAAGTTGATTCGTAATAAACCCGTGATGATAAATCAGATACAATGAATATATGAAGTTCATATATTTTGAACTGCGGTATTA